TTAATTTATAGTGTGGGCATGTGTAGGGAGGGGGGACTGTAAGGAGGGGGGGGGAGGCTAGGATTCGGAAGGGGGAGAATATGATGGTGAGGGGGTAGCAGGGGGGACAGGGTATGGAAGGTGAGGGTAGGGGGGTGAAGATGTGGTGGGTTGATGAATAGGGGGTGGGGGTAGGGTCATGTTTGGTACGTGGGGAGGGGGGTGAGAGTTGCGTTGAGGTTTCATAGGGTGGAAGGACAGAGATGTGCTTGTAGGAGTTGGGGGGATCTTGCCTCGCGACTTGGAAAATATTGGTGTGAGGTTTACATTTAAAACTGTGTATGGAGTCTGCCTCCACCACCTCACTTTGCGCAGTTCACTTGTTCACTACTCACTGCCACCCCCACCCACCGCCCCCACTGCCACCCCCACCCACCGCCCCCACTGCCACCCCCACCCACCGCCCCCACTGCCACCCCCACCCACCGCCCCCACTGCCACCCCCACCCACCGCCCTCACTGCCACCCCACCCACCGCCCTCACTGCCACCCCCACCCACCGCCCTCACTGCCACCCCCACCCACCGCCCCCACTGCCACCCCCACCCACCGCCCCCACTGCCACCCCCACCCACCGCCCTCACTGCCACCCCCACCCACCGCCCTCACTGCCACCCCCACCCACCGCCCTCACTGCCACCCCCACCCACCGCCCTCACTGCCACCCCCACCCACCGCCCTCACTGCTAACCACCTCACCCATTGCTACCATTTTTCTGTTACAAAAAAGCGATGTATTAGGTCGGCAAGACAGGTCGGAATACACCCTGCTCTCTTAAATCCTAAATTAATAAATTTAGAGTTCGGCGCATACATTTGTTTTTGCCTCTCACGACTGTTATTCCCCCCCCCCTCATTCCAGCCCACCCTCCTCCCCTTACCCAGTAATCCCCCCAAAACCTTCCCGCCCCCCCTCCCTTCACCTGTCTCCCCCCCCCCCCCCAGTCCTCCTGTCTAGTGTTGACCCATAAGATCAACATTTGTCCTGGACGCATCTCCCAGGTGAGAGAACACACCTCCGACATTTGTTTCCAGAAAAGCCTCTCCTGACATTGTCCCATTGTGTGTACAAGCGGTAGCTTAATGCATACAAACACCGCCATCGTTTAGTACAGGGGGGGTGGGGGTACTGCAGGCTTTTACCATGTCTGTTCCGATCGTCTGACCTTGTCTGACCCGGGGACAAGGGCCACCCGACCCGGGGACAAGGCGACCCGACCCGGAAAATCAACAGAAAATGGGGAATGCGATGAAAATGAGGGTTCCAAGAGGGAGGACTTTCACACGGTCGCCGGAGCCGCCGTCCCGCGCACAAACACCTTCCAGTCATACCGCCATCCGTGGCAAATGGCCCCACTTACGGACTCGGGCCGACAATTGCTCTGAAATGGTTTGTAAATAAAGATCATCTAGAGTTTGGCTTTGTTATTTATAGAACAAACATAGTGTTCATGCGGCCATACCGCCATGAATGCAGTTGAGGGTTATTTTTACTCGTTATTTTATACTGTAATTATTTACCGAAGATAGAGAGCAAACAACTAATTTGATTATATTATGCGTAAGAAAAGCTGAAAAATAACTATAAAACTAATTATTTAATTATTTTCTTCAGAAAACAGTGGACTTAACCCTCACACGTCAAGTTTTTGCTCTTTGTTATTCTGTTTCCCTTTCGTGGACCGTGTTAACGGGCCTGTCACCTAGGGATTACTGCGCTAGGCTCCAGGTCCCCGCCACACGACCCGGACTCAGGGATTACTGCGCTAGGCTCCAGGTCCCCGCCACACGACCCGGACTCAGGGATTACTGCGCTAGGCTCCAGGTCCCCGCCACACGACCCGGACTCGGGGATTACTGCGCTATATAGGCTCCAGGTCCCCGCCACACGACTAGACCCTGACGAGTGCAGAACTGTCCAAGACAGTTCGGGAATATATTTTGTGTTTACTTAAATGTATAGACCCTTGTTAAGATTGTGATGGTTGGGGTGGAGAGGGGGGGGGGGGTCCTTTGTGTTAACATTTAAGGATGTGATTTGTTTGTGGTGTGAATAGTTTGCTTGAGGCTGTCACCAATCTGCCGCCCACTCCGCCCACCCGCAGCCCTGACTGCCGTCCACCCGCAGCCCTGACTGCCGCCCACCCACCGCCCTGACTGCCGCCCACCCACCGCCCTGACTGCTACTCAGTGCAACCTGTCATCAGGGAGGAAATATGCTCACAGGAATGGATTGAGAACGAAATTAAAGTTATTATTTACTCTATCCGTGGTTAGGTTAGGTTATATCTTGAAAGAGATAAGGTTATCTTCAGATGATTTCAGGGCTTAGTGCCCCCTCGGCCCGGTCCTCGGCCAGAACTCCTTTTTGTTACACTCCCCCAGGAAGCAGCCCGTAGTAGTTTTCTAACTCCCAGGTACCTATTTACTGCTAGGTAACAGGGACATCAGGGTGAGAGAAACATTATGCCTATTTGTCTCCGCCTCCACCGGGGATGGAACCCGGAACCTCCGTACTACGAATCCGAAGCGCTGTCCACTCAGCTGTCAGGCGCCTAAAGGTTAATTTTTCGTTAAAGTTTAATTATGTTAGGTTAGAGTAGGTTTCATTACATTCGGTTACATTAATACGGCGTAATATTGACGATAATATGAAATATGGAATTCGAAAACTATTTCAGTGTACCTGAGAATTCCGTTTACAGAAAACAGAATTCTTGAAAGAAAACGTTTTTAGCATCCACTCTTATATTTTAAACCAACTATTTATAACAACATAAAGTTATAACTTGAGGATAATCTCCTGTTTATGACAAAAATTCACAGGATATTTTACCTTCCTGTTGTTGTGTGATTGCACCATTCCTTTCTCCCATCCCATCTCAAATCTTTATCCTGGCCCTTTCCAAGTGCCACATAGTCGTAATGGCTCGGCGCTTTCCCCTGACAATCCCCTTCCCTTCCCAGTTTGCATGGCGACAATTACTGGAACTGTAATATGCTTTCAGACCATCACAAATATCTAGATAACTATCCCGGTGGTTTGTAGGGTAATGTGGTTTCTGGCGGTAATGGATTTGGTCTGAGGATGGGCTCTCCACTGAGGGTAACATCGATTATTAACGTCCATCTTGCTAATTCCCTTCCCACTCATTCTTACGTCTCTGTTTCTGGGTTAGAGTTCTGTTTCTGGGCTGTTTGAAAACCGTAAGAGTTCATACATGCTGTTATTTCTGGCCCTGTTTACTTTAAGATGTTTCCTGATCCTTGTACGAGCTTGTTTTACGGGTTCGCCATAGCCCGTGCTACATGGACACTTCGTTCTGAGTAGCTAAATCTGAAACAACACCAACTTGCGGTTGTTACGATGCGGTGTATTGGGTCTATCGAAGCTGTTCTATGGTTTGTGTCTTAGTTTATCCCGTGATAGTTGCTACAAGTCGTGGCTATTAGAGTTACGTGTGACGGGGCCTTGAGCCTACCTAGGAAGCCTAGGAGACTTGTTGTGTGTCACAGGTGCCTGTGTGGAGGGCCGGCGAGAAACAATGGGCAGAGTTTCTTTCATCCTGATGCCCCCTGTTACCTAGCAGTAAATAGGTGATTGATTGATTGATTGATAAAGATTAAGCCACCCAAAAGGTGGCACGGGCATGAATAGCCCGTAAGTGGTGGCCCTTTTGAGCCATTACCAGTATCAAGAGCTGATACTGAAGATCTGTGGAGGTGCGACTGCACCCTGCGTGACGGGAGATGTCTCCCGTGAGTAAATAGGTACTTGGGAGTTGCTGCTTCCTGGGGGTGGAGGCCTGGTCGAGGACCGGGCCGCGGGGACAATAAGCCCCGAAATCATCTCAAGATAACCTCAAGATAACCTAACAATCCTAGGAGCTGGGGGACGTAAGCATGAGTGTGTGTGTGTGGTAATCCTCTGGAAACACCTGTCTTCACTAGTAAACAGGTGTCCATGTTGTAAACACCACGAGTGTCCATGTTGTGTGTTCAGTAATATAATAACAAGATTAGAATGAGGACTAATAATTATAAATTATTGACTACACCTAGGATACATTTCTCACCTTGTCGTACATTTCTCACAAAAAAAAAATATGTGGGGTCCCGTGGATTATACATATAAGGATACTGTTAGTTCGTGTGGCCCAGCTAATGACCGGTAGCTGGTCGCTTATCACCCAGAATCATCACAAGGGGACTGGCCATTAATGCTTCCCAAAACGACCCTCTCGCCTCCCGGGCCACACAAACAGCCTTGCCCGTCTCCCTTACACTCATCTTGAGACATTCTCAGGCGTGGGGGGGGGGTGAAGGAGGGGAATAGGAACACTGAGGTGGAAAAGAAGAATGTTTTCAGTACTCTTTACAAGTATTAGAGCAGCGGTGGCTGGACGTCAAGAAACTGTCGTGTTAAAGTGCCCCTTTATCCTAACCTGCCAGAGGACCCAAAACAGAAAACGGGACAGTATGTGTCAGTTTCGCGAGCCGCTACTATTTTCTAGTAAGGCGATTTTTGGCCTTTAGAACGTCGCATTTTGATGTATACTTTACCTATTAGGAGGACGGGTTAGAACGGGACTCTCTCTCTCTCTCTCTCTCTCTCTCTCTCTCTCTCTCTCTCTCTCTCTCTCTCTCTCTCTCTCTCTCTCTCTCTCTCTCTCTCTCTCTCTCTAAGCCTGTGTTGAGTCGCTTTCCTGGAGACGTTGATCTCGAATTGCGTTTAATTGTGTTTGATGGGGGTAACTAGTAGTAGGTTGCTAGTAGGATGGAGCGAGAAGGAGTGAACTCCCAGAAGGCGGCTAGTAGGAGGGAGCTAGCAGGAAGAACACACACAAGGGGGAACTAGGAGGAAACTATACGAACCAGTTGAACAATCTATATTTTCCATGTAGAGTAAAGTACGATGAAGACCCCTGTTCTGTTGAACTGTGAACGGAGTGAACACTCACCCTCTTCACCAGCTTGAACTTGCCCTTCTTCACGTCATAGCAGAGGAGTTTGTTGAGGTCCTTGGTGTGGAAGACCCCTGTTGATCGGTTGGTCTTTGTCACGTAGAACCTTTCTGTGGGGGGACCAGAGAAGACGTTGGGATTAATGACGGTCTGTGGGAGAAGTGGTTGGGATTAATTTCGGTCTGTGGGAGAAGTGGTTGGGATTAATGACGGTCTATGGGAGAAGTGGGTGGGATTAATGACGGTCTGTGGGAGAGGTGGTTAGGACTAATGATGGTCTGTGGTATTTGGAATTAATGACGGTCTGTGGGAGAAGTGGGTGGGATTAATGACAGTCAGTAGCAGAAGTATGGATTAATAACCGGAGAAGAAAGCGGATTAATGGCGGAATGTGGTAAGCGGAGGAGCAAAAAAAAAAAGATTACATCAGGCGCACAAACAAAAATAAGAAACAGATCAGAACTCGGGAGATATGGTTCTCAAGGCTTTACCAATCACCTGCACATTATATGTTGACAATGAGAGCCAGTGACAACAGTCTCTTCAACTTCAACAAGATATTATTTTTACATATATATATATATATATATATATATATATATATATATATATATATATATATATATCTCGAATTGCAAAAATATATATATATATATATATATTATATATATATATATATATATATATATATATATATATATATATATATATATATGACCACCTCCAATATCTACTACTGAAAACCGGAATATGGATAGAGTTCTGGAATGTAAAATGTTTTCAAATTTCTATCCAAATAATTTGCCATGTCATGCGAAGTGCGTTTAGATTGATCTCTAAATGGCTGAATTTTTACACAGTATACAGTGTGTGTGTGTGTGTGTGTGTGTGTGTGTGTGTGTGTGTGTGCGCGCGCGCGCGCGTGCGTGCGTGCGTGCGTGCGTGCGTGCGGGGAGTTGTTATTGTGTATTTTATGGAATGATGAGCAAGATTGTGATAGTGAGGAAGATTGTGGTAGTGAGGAAGATTGTGGCAATGAACAATATTGTGGTAGTGAGGAAGATTATGGTGATGAGCAAGCCTGTCTCATTTGCACTACAGGAATGATGTAGCTATTTCATAAAAATGGCAGATGGGGTTTGTAAGTCTGAAGGGCTAATTCGGTTGTTAATTAAGAGTTTGACAGTTAATGTTCTGGATGAAATTGATCTGACAGGTGACAGGTTAGAAGTTAGAGGACACTAAGAGTTAATTGTAAAAACTAACGGGATGTTAGAAATTAGCAGTTGGAGACAGGTGATTTAGAATGATAAGTAACTAACAGTTACACAATGAAAGTTAACGAGCTGAAGTCATAGTGGAGATAGTGATTAGGAGGTTGAGAGACGATAAAAGCCGATAGACAAATAGATACATGCACACGAAATTAATGAATAGATTACCCCAACAACCGAGCGATCCATTACAGTTGAAAGTTACACAGTGAAGAAAAGCGCATATGCAAATTTTTAATAAGTAAATATGTAAATCTGTAATACGAAAATATGTAAATTGTTATTACCTAAATATGTAGCTGAAAGTCTCTGTATCGCACACAGGATGAACGGCCGCCATTTCAATAGGCAATACATTATTAGAGGTTCATTGGTATGCACGCTGCCTATCCTGGAGTTCACACAAAATTATGCAGCTATGTATAATCACCCATGGTCTCATCGGCTCATACACCGAGTCTGTATGTATACTCTGTATATCTACGTCTGTGTCTAGTGAGGTGATTTGAATAGGCAGCTTGGGATGGGTGGTGGTTGAGGGGGGCATGTCGGCAATCCATATATAATTAATCCCACGCTCTTTATAATTGAAGGGCCGAACATACATGGGATATAATACTGTTAATCTTGTATGTTAACGAGCTGCAGTATATCTCACGCCTCATATAATTTAAGAAGTAGCGTGGCGTCCAATTCAAAGAGGAATATTAATTGTCTTGTTTGTTGATTGGTGGGTAGTTCCGTGCCTCACAGCTGAAGTTGGGTACTGAAGCCAACAGCTGGGGCTAGGTACGTAAACCAACAGCTGGGGCTAGGCACGTAAACCAACAGCTGGGGTTAGGCACGTAAACCAACAGCTGGGGCTAGGTACGTAAACCAACAGCTGGAGCTAGGTACGTAAACCAACAGCTGGGACTAGGCACGTAAACCAACAGCTGGGACTAGGCACGTAAACCAACAGCTGGGACTAGGCACGTAAACCAACAGCTGGGACTAGGCACGTAAACCAACAGCTGGGACTAGGCACGTAAACCAACAGCTGGGACTAGGCACGTAAACCAACAGCTGGGGCTAGGCACGTAAACCAACAGCTGGGGCTAGGTACGTAAACCAACAGCTGGGACTAGGTACGTAAATCAACAGCTGGGGCTAGGCACGTAAATCAACAGCTGGGGCTAGGCACGTAAACCAACAGCTGGGGCTAGGCACGTAAACCAACAGCTGGAGCTAGGTACGTAAACCAACAGCTGGGACTAGGCACGTAAACCAACAGCTGGGACTAGGCACGTAAACCAACAGCTGGGACTAGGCACGTAAACCAACAGCTGGGACTAGGCACGTAAACCAACAGCTGGGACTAGGCACGTAAACCAACAGCTGGGACTAGGCACGTAAACCAACAGCTGGGACTAGGCACGTAAACCAACAGCTGGGACTAGGCACGTAAACCAACAGCTGGGGCTAGGCACGTAAACCAACAGCTGGGGCTAGGCACGTAAACCAACAGCTGGAGCTAGGCACGTAAACCAACAGCTGGAGCTAGGCACGTAAACCAACAGCTGGGGCTAGGCACGTAAACCAACAGCTGGGGCTAGGCACGTAAACCAACAGCTGGGACTAGGCACGTAAACCAACAGCTGGGGCTAGGCACGTAAACCAACAGCTGGAGCTAGGCACGTAAACCAACAGCTGGAGCTAGGCACGTAAACCAACAGCTCGAGCTAGGCACGTAAACCAACAGCTGGGACTAGGCACGTAAACTAACAGCTGGGGCTAGGCACGTAAACCAACAGCTGGGGCTAGGCACGTAAACCAACAGCTGGGACTAGGCACGTAAACCAACAGCTGGGACTAGGCACGTAAACCAACATCTGGGACTAGGTACGTAAACCAACAGCTGGGACTAGGCACGTAAACCAACAGCTGGGGCTAGGTACGTAAACCAACAGCTGGGACTAGGCACGTAAACCAACAGCTGGGACTAGGCACGTAAACCAACAGCTGGACCTAGGCACGTAAACCAACAGCTGGACCTAGGCACGTAAACCAACAGCTGGGGCTAGGCACGTAAACCAACAGCTGGGACTAGGCACGTAAACCAACAGCTGGGGCTAGGCACGTAAACCAACAGCTGGGACTAGGCACGTAAACCAACAGCTGGGGCTAGGCACGTAAACCAACAGCTGGGACTTGGCACGTAAACCAACAGCTGGGACTAGGCACGTAAACCAACAGCTGGGGCTAGGCACGTAAACCAACAGCTGGGGCTAGGCACGTAAACCAACAGCTGGGACTAGGCACGTAAACCAACAGCTGGAGCTAGGCACGTAAACCAACAGCTGGAGCTAGGCACGTAAACCAACAGCTGGGGCTAGGCACGTAAACCAACAGCTGGGGCTAGGCACGTAAACCAACAGCTGGGGCTAGGCACGTAAACCAACAGCTGGGGCTAGGTACGTAAACCAACAGGTGAATGTTAAATAAGAAGAGATGGAGGATGGTGGGGAGAGATGGAGGATGGTGGGGAGAGATGGAGGATGGTGAGGAGAGATGGAGGATGATGAAGAGTGATGGAGGATGGTGAGGAGAGATGGAGGATAATGAGGAGAGATGGAGGATGGTGGGGAGAGATGGAGGATGGTGAGGAGAGATGGAGGATAATGAGGAGAGATGGAGGATGGTGGGGAGAGATGGAGGATGGTGAGGAGAGATGGAGGATGGTGAGGAGAGATGGAGGATGGTGAGGAGAGATGGAGGATGGTGAGGAGAGATGGAGGATGGTGAGGAGAGATAAGTTAGAGACACAAAGGAGTGAAGATCGAGACACCAGGAAAGAGCTACAAGAGATGATCGAGGGAAATTCAGTAAGCAGTTTCAAAGGGAAATACAACGACCGAACTAATTAATCGACGACCACAAGTACCCCCCCCCCCACACACACACAGGGGGGGGGCCGGTGGCTGAGCGGACAGGTCGCTGGACGCGTGATCCTGTGGTCCCGGGTTCTATCCCGGGCGCCGGCGAGAAACAATGGTTAGTTTCTCTTTCACCCCTGATGCACCTGTTACCTAGCAGTAAATAGGTTCCTGGGAGTTAGTCAGCTGTCACGGGCTGCTTCCTGGGGGTGGAGGCCTGGTCGAGGACCGGGCCGCGGGGACACTAAGGCCCGAAATTATCTCAAGATAACCTGCTCATATCAGTCCGTCTGATAGCTGAGGGTATGTGTGTGTGTGTGTGTGTGTGTGTGTGTGTGTGTGTGTGTATTCACCTAGTTGTGTGTGTGTGTTTGAATGAAAAATATGTAGTAGATAGAACAGAAGAAAAATATATTGGTTAGAAACGCGGAGTCTAGGAGCTAATAGCTCGATTTTGCAGCCATAAATAATAAATACAAATATTACACACACACACACACACACACACACACACACACACACACACACACACACACACACACACACACACACACTAAAACAAGAAAATCCCGTTTCTCTCGAGCAAGCAGCGCGTAATGCACATGTTTATGTTGCTTATTACTTAATGCAAACAAGTTGCTCGAGCAAATGATGGCGTGTGTATGTAAAGCAGTGGGTGATAACACTGCTTGATAGGATGGCATTAGGGAATACGAAGAGTTGCCAGCCCATACGGCAATAGAAAAGGGGGGAAAAAGAGAGAGGTTGCCGAGCAACGCAGCATATAAGGGTTGTCATACAAGGCATCGGAAATACTCCCCCCATTACCCAATACCCAGGCAGGAGGCTTCCCCATGAGTTCATTGGTGATATGAACGCGCCCGAGCTCTCTTCAACCCGCGGGTTAGGTTTCTGTCTCCACTGAGACTGTAGCCTCTTGGCGACGAGGCTACAGTCTGGTCGCATCCTGGCATTGTCACACTCATATATATATATATATATATATATATATATATATATATATATATATATATATATATATATATATATATATATATATGTAGTGATGGTCCGCCAGAAAACCACAGTTTGTACTATTAAATTTACGGAGTCTGGAGAAATAAGGCTAGAAACCAAATTTAAATATTCCTAGGCCTATTATAGCACACACATGTACTGTATTAGGCCTAGGATTCAATACTTCAAGTGTGAATATACTGGTGGTCCATCACTACATATTGGTACTCACGGCCACAGAGTTACTTTAAGTACTGTCGTTTCAGGAGGATGGGATGATGTGTGTAATGTGAGGACGTGTGTGTGTGTGTCTTCTGCTACCACCTCTCTCTCTCTCTCTCTCTCTCTCTCTCTCTCTCTCTCTCTCTCTCTCTCTCTCTCTCTCTCTCTCTCTCTCTCCACCACACACGTTGCCAAGAGCATCTATGCACTTGCATATCGTCCACTCAGACCACGAAAGATAGTTAGTGAATACACATGCGGTGATAAAATGGCAAAGAAAATGGAGGCAAGGGAAGATGGGTGGAGGGGGGACTTACGGAGGTGATCATCACCATTACAGCAGTCGGTGAGGTTGTTGTTGTACTTGAAGGAGAGGCAGACGCCGGGGTTGGTGGCTGAGGCGAAGTACCGATACCGGTCGGCACTGCCCCCCATTGCTGAGACCTGTGAGGGGAGAGACACACACGGCGGGTTAGTGTGGTGAGGGGTGGACGGGGGTGGGGTTTGTGTGGGGGAAGTATAGAGGGGAAGGTGTCGTGTGAAGGTTAGGTTAGGGTGGGGTCGTGTTGAGGGGAGGGGAGGGCCCATGTGTGAGGGGATCCTATGTAAGGTCAGGGTCCATGTAGGGGGGATAACGTAACATCCAATCCCCTTGCATAACACGTCGTAATTTTGACGTCAAAAATCCCCGACGTCAGAGTAAGATGTACTCAAAAACCACAGCGGCTCCCCACGTTAACGTGATGTTCCCGTTTTCTATTCGTGGTTCCTCGGTTGTGGAGGCTAGAGAGGACGGGCTGTATGTATAATAAATGCTATTTTTTTACACCAAAGAGGTACTGCTATTTGTAAATAACAACAGCTTTAAGTCTATCCCTAATATCTGTACAGTAAGACAGAATGTGTGTGTTTGTCCAAAAGTAAAAATGAAGATGCACATGGCGCTAGCCTCGCTCAACTTTGCAGGGAGGGGGGGATATAGTGTCTGGGGTGTGGGACGGTAATAGGTTGATCGGGGTAGGCCTAAATTAAATATTTTAAGAAATGTTAGCATTTATAAACCCCCCCCCCCTTCCCCCTCCCTCCATGCGATTTTCAAGGTGCTTTGGATATGCCTGTTTCTCCCCCACACCCCCATTCTACCCCTTTTCTTCCACCTCCCCTCTTGAACCCCCTTGTCACCATCCACTGGGTTCCCCTATTTGTCCCTTCACTTGTCCTCCCATCTCCAACCTCAGCTTCCCCCTTCTCCTCCTATTGACATGATCCCCCCCCCTACCCCTTTTCTCAGAACATATGAAGCAATGTAACCACAATATGGATCTCTCGGAAAATATTATTTTATGATCACAAAAAACTCTTAGGGCATCACAACCAATACTTCACACATGATCACTTTTTTGACTATGAAAATTGGATATGAGGTGTGTCAATAATTACTAATATTTCTGAAATCATTTAACTTAGGCGTACCCCCAACTAGCCTATGTCCATCCCATATGCCACACCACTCCCCCTGCAAAGGTGGCTGAAGCTAGCTCAAACCTCTGCCCTCCAACTTTGTACAGATAGCAAACACTTTCTTATTATATATATATATATATATATATATATATATATATATATATATATATATATATATATATATATATATATATATATATATAATGTCGTACCTAGTAGCCAGAACGCACTTCTCGGCCTACTATGCAAGGCTCGATTTGCCTAATAAGCCAAGTTTTCATGAATTAATTGTTTTTCGACTACCTAACCTAACTTAACTTTTTCGGCTACCTAACCTAACCTATAAAGATAGGTTAGGTTAGGTAGGGTTGGTTAGGCTCGGTCATATATCTACTTTAATTTTTACTCCAATAAAAATTTTTTTACCTCATACATAACGAAATGGGTAGCTTTATCATTTCATAAAAAAAATTGAGAAAATATATTAATACATGAAAACTTGGCCTATTAGGCAAATCGGGCCTTGCATTGTAGGCTGAGAAGTGCGTTCTGGCTACTAGGTACGACATATATATATATATATATATATATATGTGTGTATATCACGAAAATAAACACGTGATTAAGAATGTGACAATGTCAGACCACGGAGGAAAAATGAAACAGGAAATTTCCTTAAGTACTTTCGTATATTAAATACATCTTCAGAAGGTCAAATACACCTTCTGAAGATGTATTTAATATACGAAAGTACTTAAGGAAATTTCCTGTTTCATTTTTCCTCCGTGGTCTGACATTGTCATATATATATATATATATATATATATGCGAACAAGCCTGAATGGTCCCCAGGACAATATGCAACTGAAAACTCACACCCCAGAAGTGACTCGAACCCATACTCCCAGATGCCACGCAACTGGTATGTACAAGACGCCTTAATCCACTTGACCATCACGACCGGACATAATGAGGTGATAGCCGAGGCTATTTGAACCACCCCACCGCCGGCACTCGGATAGTAATCTTGGGCATAGCATTTTACCAAATCACCTCATTCTTTGGGGCACACGTGAGGAACACAAATGCGAACAAGCCTGAATGGTCCCCAGGACAATATGCAACTGAAAACTCACACCCCAGAAGTGACTCGAACCCATACTCCCAGATGCCACGCAACTGGTATGTACAAGACACCTTATGTCCGGTCGTGATGGTCAAGTGGATTAAGGCGTCTTGTACATACCAGTTGCGTGGCATCTGGGAGTATGGGTTCGAGTCACTTCTGGGGTGTGAGTTTTCAGTTGCATATTGTCCTGGGGACCATTCAGGCTTGTTCGCATTTGTGTTCCTCACGTGTGCCCCAAAGAATGAGGTGATTTGGTAAAATGCTATGCCCAAGATTACTATCCGAGTGCCGGCGGTGGGGTGGTTCAAATAGCCTCGGCTATCACCTCATTATGTCCGGTCGTGATGGTCAAGTGGATTAAGGCGTCTTGTACATACCAGTTGCGTGGCATCTGGGAGTATGGGTTCGAGTCACTTCTGGGGTGTGAGTTTTCAGTTGCATATTGTCCTGGGGACCATTCAGGCTTGTTCGCATTTGTGTTCCTCACGTGTGCCCCAAAGAATGAGGTGATTTGGTAAAATGCTATGCCCAAGATTACTATCCGAGTGCCGGCGGTGGGGTGGTTCAAATAGCCTCGGCTATCACCTCATTATGTCCGGTCGTGATGGTCAAGTGGATTAAGGCGTCTTGTACATACCAGTTGCGTGGCATCTGGGAGTATGGGTTCGAGTCACTTCTGGGGTGTGAGTTTTCAGTTATATATATATATATATATATATATATATATACACATATATATACACATATATATACACATATATATACAGTATATATAATCAACTCTAAGTTAAATTAAACTGTAAGAATTTGGTAAATTTTAATTGAAAGTAAAAAATATAAACTGCAAATATTCGTTGGAATAAAATCCATCATTTTTAATTTATTTCGGTGATAACTCCATAGAATTACCAACCAAGACGAGGCTTAATCTATCTATAGACAATGACACACAAATCAAAGATACTGCCCTAGAAAATGTGTTCTCGGTGTTGGTCGGTTAGAAATCATCTAAACAATACATAGTACACCTATGTACATAGTACACCTATGTACATAGTACACCTATGTACTGTGTACTACAGTACACAGGTGGCGTAGCAAGTCCACATGAAGGTAACATGAATCATTTTCACTTACCACAAAGAGCAGGACCAGCACGAATATGGCGACGTATGGCAGTCTGCAAAGGAGAGAGGAATAATGTCATTGATGTTCTGAAGTATGACTGATATTCTGAAGTATAATTGATGTTCTGAAACATAATTGATATTCTGAAACATAATTGATATTCTGAAACATAATTGATATTCTGAAACATAATTGATACTCTGAAACATAATTGATATTCTGAAACATAATTGATATTCTGAAACATAATTGATATTCTGAAACATAATTGATATTCTGAAACATAATTGATATTCTGAAACATAATTGATACTCTGAAACATAATTGATACTCTGAAACATAATTGATATTCTGAAACATAATTGATATTCTGAAACATAATTGATACTCTGAAACATAATTGATATTCTGAAACATAATTGATATTCTGAAACATAATTGATATTCTGAAACATAATTGATACTCTGAAACATAATTGATATTCTGAAACATAATTGATATTCTGAAACATAATTGATATTCTGAAACAAAATTGATATTCTGAAACATAATTGATATTCTGAAACATAATTGATACTCTGAAACATAATTGATATTCTGAAACATAATTGATACTCTGAAACATAATTGATACTCTGAAACATAATTGATATTCTGAAACATAATTGATATTCTGAAACATAATTGATACTCTGAAACATAATTGATATTCTGAAACATAATTGATACTCTGAAACATAATTGATATTCTGAAACATAATTGATATTCTGGATCCAGTGAACTATGATGGCTGGTGATGATAACAGTTGTGGGTATAATCAGGTGTCCGTGTTCATTTACTATGTGCTCGGGGTCGCTGCCTAATGAGGGCTGATGAGATGGGGTGATTATAACGGCTGTTAGCCGTGTCAGGGCGTGGTAATTACACGTAGGCCTCTCGTAATGAGGTGGTTGGAGCCTAATGGCCAAGTCATCGTTCTTGTATGACTGTGTTGTATTTTGTATACATTTAGTTCTCTATTATTATTATTATTGTTATTATTTATGGGTTGTAGTTCTGAGGTCAGATGCTGGAACCAGCTATAGGTTATTTAGGATGCTTCTCCTAGAACACGATCCAGCAAGTGTTTTACATCCATGTTCATTTTTTTGGCTAGGGTGAACGGTGTGGAAGGATGATGAGCATGGCCGTTTGACCTTGCCCAGGATTCGAACCTGGGCGGCGTGTTGCATGGTGTTGATTTGCATCTGTGGCCCGTATTCCCTGATGATTCATTCCACCTCTCTCTCTCTCTCTCTCTCTCTCTCTCTCTCTCTCTCTCTCTCTCTCTCTCTCTCTCACTCCCCCATACTTCCATGCTACATCTCCCCTCCCCCCCCCCATCTCCCCCTTTCCCTTTATGTACCTCCCACTGTAACCTATCTTTTTTTTTCTATGGGTAATTATTTTTTATTTTTAGGAATATTTTGACTCGTATTTCGAGTAAAGAAATTGGTGTGTAATTTCCTGTTTGTGTTAAGAGATTTACCTGACTTAGGAAATTAATATGCTAGAGGTCACTACGGGCTCACCATAGCCCGTGCTACTTGGAACTTATTTTTTCCAGGTAGCGAATCTTAAACAATAACAACAGCTAGAGGTATTTATTAAGTATGTGGCGCAAGAGCTGCGTTAAATATTTGTGAATTGATGGATTGCAGGCACTGGGAGGCTAGTCAATAGCAATTTATGTGTTTTCTTAATGTCTGGGGCCTTGTTCTTAAGACTTCTGAGTGATCTTGTTCTTAAGACTTCTGAGTGATCTTGTTCTTAAGACTTCTGAGTGATCTTGTTCTTAAGACTTCTGAGTGATCTTGTTCTTAAGACTTCTGAGTGTTGTGGTTTTAACCTCTGCGTGGGTTGTCTGCTGTCAAACACTGTCGCCTCCTTTTCTCACCTTTCCATCCCCTCCCGGCTCCTCTTCCGTCTGCTACTTACTCCTTCCACCTCCCTCCCTCCCTTCCCCTTTCACCAGTGCCGGTGCTGACGCCTGCACCTCGTTCGGGGGGGGGGGGGGAGGACGATTTTGCCTGTCAAGCGTATCTGCTTGTGTCCTGGAGGTTAGACACAGCCAGTGTGGTGGCACTCTCCCCCCAGCCAGTGTGGTGGCACTCTCCCCCCAGCCAGTGTGGTGGCACTGTCCCCCCAGCCAGTGTGGTGGCACTGTCCCCCAGCCAGTGTGGTGGCACTGTCCCCCCAGCCAGTGTGGTGGCACTGTCCCCCAGCCAGTGTGGTGGCACTGTCCCCCAGCCAGTGTGGTGGCACTGTCCCCCAGCCAGTGTGGTGGCACTGTCCCCCAGCCAGTGTGGTGGCACTGTCCCCCAGCCAGTGTGGTGGCACTGTCCCCCAGCCAGTGTGGTGGCACTCTCCCCCCAGCCAGTGTGGTGGCACTCTTTTCCCCCAGCCAGTGTGGTGGCACTCTTTTCCCCCAGCCAGTGTGGTGGCACTGTCCCCAGCCAGTGTGGTGGCACTGTCCCCCAGTCAGTGTGGTGGCACTGTCCCCCAGTCAGTGTGGTGGCACTGTCCCCCAGCCAGTGTGGTGGCACTGTCCCCCAGCCAGTGTGGTGGCACTGTCCCCCAGCCAGTGTGGTGGCACTGTCCCCCAGCCAGTGTGGTGGCACTGTCCCCCAGCCAGTGTGGTGGCACTGTCCCCCAGCCAGTGTGGTGGCACTGTCCCCCAGCCAGTGTGGTGGCACTGTCCCCCAGCCAGTGTGGTGGCACTGTCCCCCAGCCAGTGTGGTGGCACTCTCCCCCCAGCCAGTGTGGTGGCACTCTCCCCCCAGCCAGTGTGGTGGCACTCTCCCCCCAGCCAGTGTGGTGGCACTCTCCCCCCAGCCAGTGTGGTGGCACTCTCCCCCCAGCCAGTGTGGTGGCACTCTCCCCCCAGCCAGTGTGGTGGCACTCTCCCCCCAGCCAGTGTGGTGGCACTCTCCCCCCAGCCAGTGTGGTGGCACTCTCCCCCCAGCCAGTGTGGTGGCACTCTCCCCCCAGCCAGTGTGGTGGCACTCTCCCCCCAGCCAGTGTGGTGGCACTCTCCCCCCAGCCAGTGTGGTGGCACTCTCCCCCCAGCCAGTGTGGTGGCACTCCCCCCAGCCAGTGTGGTGGCACTCTCCCCCCAGCCAGTGTGGTGGCACTCTCCCACCAGCCAGTGTGGTGGCACTCTCCCCCAGCCAGTGTGGTGGCACTCTCCCCCCAGCCAGTGTGGTGGCACTCTCCCCCCAGCCAGTGTGGTGGCACTGTCCCCCAGCCAGTGTGGTGGCACTGTCCCCCCAGCCAGTGTGGTGGCACTGTCCCCCCAGCCAGTGTGGTGGCACTGTCCCCCCAGCCAGTGTGGTGGCACTGTCCCCCCAGCCAGTGTGGTGGCACTGTCCCCCCCAGCCAGTGTGGTGGCACTGTCCCCCCCAGCCAGTGTGGTGGCACTGTCCCCCCAGCCAGTGTGGTGGCACTCTCCCCCCAGCCAGTGTGGTGGCACTCTCCCCCAGCCAGTGTGGTGGCACTGTCCCCCAACCAGTGTGGTGGCACTGTCCCCCAACCAGTGTGGTGGCACTGTCCCCCAGCCAGTGTGGTGGCACTGTCCCCCAGCCAGTGTGGTGGCACTGTCCCCCAGCCAGTGTGGTGGCACTGTCCCCCAGCCAGTGTGGTGGCACTGTCCCCCAACCAGTGTGGTGGCACTGTCCCCCAACCAGTGTGGTGGCACTGTCCCCCAGCCAGTGTAGTGGCACTGTCCCCCAGCCAGTGTGGTGGCACTGTCCCCCAACCAGTGTGGTGGCACTCTACCTCAGACAGTGTGGTGGCACTGTCCCCCAGCCAGTGTGGTGGCACCCCTGTACTCACCAAAGGGGGTGAGACACAAGCAACCCCATGCGTTGAGAGGTTCAGAGGAGACTTGAGAGGGGAGAGACGGAGTGGGGGGGGCAGGTGATGAGGGGTTGAGTGAGTGAGGGGGGAGGGGAGGGGGACGGTCAGAGGGGAAGAGTAACAATCAGGTTCCAGCGACACAAGATATGCCATTATGCGGTGTCGAGCCAAAACAACCAGAGAGGGACAAACAATGTAAGCCGACGGAGAGACCAGTGACTTGGCGATCCCAGTGTGAAGTGTCTTGGGTCAATATTAGCGCTGTAAACTTGGGCCCCCAACCGCCAGCCAGTCAGCCGGCAAGCCAGTCAGCCAGCCAGCCGGCAAGCCAGTCAGCTAGCCAGCCAGCCAGTCAGCTAGCCAGCCGGCAAGCCAGTCAACGAAGGCATCAGCCAGCCAGTAAGCGAGCCAGCCAACCAGACTGTAGGCTAATCAGTAAGTCAGTATGGCAGGTGACAAGCCAGCCGTTAAGCCAATCCAAATCCACCAACTAGCCTACTAGTAAGCCACAGTCAACCAGCAAACCGTACCCAGTCAACGGTTCTAAAGCCAAATGGAAATTCCTCTGAAAACTAGCTGACTATGCAGCTATAGTCAGCTACAGTTAATCATCTACACCCACGTGTACTGCTAGGCTCCACCACTAGCACTACTGCCACTTGGAGAACCAGTTACTACCACCACCACCACTACTACCACCACCCAACTCCAACTTCGGGAACCCCCCCCCCCCCTACCTCCCCCCACTCTTTCCCACTCTCGGAATCCAACAGAGTTTATTACCTACCACCACCCACTACCCTCCACCACTATCATCACCCACCAGCCAACACCTCCCATCACCACCACCACCTCTACCATCATCCACCACAACCACCACCATCCCCCACTTGTAAACCACACTACCAGGTTGAGAATCCACCTCACCTCTCACTGTCTGCGCGGTTGTCTGGGCGAGACTTCGTGAAACGCAGGATCTTAATTTAGAGCGTGAGATAACGATAGCGACCAGGATACACCGGGCGACAAAAATCGTCTGGTTTTGCCGTTACGCAAAAGACGCAGGCGACGCAGGCGACAAACTGGCGTCAAGGGATGTGTAACTTGACTATAAAGCAGGAAAATGAATTTCTCCGTGATAATTCTTGTCTACACACACACACACACACACACACACACACACACACACACACACACACACACACACACACAGGGGCGTTAGAAAGAACTTTTTCAGTGTTAGAGTAGTTAACAGGTGGAATGCCTTAGGCAATGATGTGGTGGAGGCTGACTCCATACACAGTTTCAAATGTAGATATGATAAGAGCCCAGTAGGCTCAGGAATCTGTACACCAGTTGATTGACAGTTGAAAGGCGGGACCAAAGAGCCAGAGCTCAACCCCTGCAAGCACAACTAGGTAAGTACATACACACAGGTGCTGGTGCGCTGAGTACGCTGGATACATAGTCCTGTGGTTCGGGGTTCGATTCCCGGCACCTGCTTGAAACAAATGGGCAGAGTTTCTTTCACCCTGATGATCCTGTTACCTAGCAGTAAAATAGGTACCTGGGAGTTAGACAGCTGTTACCGGCTGCTTCCTGGGGATGTGTGTGTGGGGGGGGGGAATTTATTATTGAGAGGCGGGCCGAAAGAGCAGAGCTCAACCCCCGCAAGCACAACTAGGTGAATACACGTCAGGGGGCCTGACGGCTGAGTGAACAGCGCTCAGTATTCGTAGTCCTAGGGTCCGGAGATCGATCCCGGCGGAGGCGGAAACAAATGGGCAGTGTCTTTCACCCTGATGCACCTGTTCATCTAGCAGTAAATAGGTACCTGGGAGTTAGACAGCTGCTACGGGCTACTTCTTGGGGATGTGTGTGTGTGAGAGAGAAATGAATGTAGTAAACATGATAGAGGAAAAATAAATTGGTTAGAAAGGCGGAGGTCTAAGAGCTTTACAAATATGTATATACACAGAGTAATGAGAACACACTGCACCAACGTGGGCTAATGTGTTCACCTGTGAACAGGTGGCAGAGACAGCCTCACCCTGGACCAGCATAATCTTAAGGGCTTCCTGTTCCTGAGAGAGTATACTCAACTCCTTACCCCCCCCCCCCCCCCCTCTCTCTCTCTCTCTCTCTCTCTCTCTCTCTCTCTCTCTCTCTCTCTCTCTCTCTCTCTCTCTCTCTCTCTCTCTCTCTCTCTCTCTCTCTCTCTCTCCCCCTCTTTTCCTCCGCCTCCTTCCTCCTTTTTTTCTTGTACATTTTATTAGCTTATATTTTAGATCTTTTAAATAATATACAAACATTAACAAGCAGTAGTATATATATATAATATATATATATATATATATATATATATATATATATATATATATATATATATATATAAGGAGAGTAGAGGTTCCCAGTGGGAGGAGGAAATGACCTACTTCGCAGTCATGACAGGAGACCAGCAGAGCAGCTGGCCACGGTCGACGATGTGACTAATATTTCCTTGTACCGCATGCCGACCCTGTGGGCACCCCTCCCTCTCTTGTGTCGCTGAAGCTGCAGATGGAATACAAGCAGCAGCAGCAGTAGCAGGAATGCAAGCAGCAACAGTAGCAGAACAGCAGCAGCAGCAGTTGGGAACATTTAGAGGCCACAATCTGTGTGTTATCAAGCGTGGAACAAGATACTTGGCCGAGTTTTGGTGAGGTGCCAAGCACCGAGGCTCTCTTGCGGTCTTGACTGGTGGGGTTCTAGGCCAAAGCTGCTCATCACGAACTTCACACAACCGCGCTTATCCAACAGTCACCATCATTGACCCCTCAAATTACCGAACAGTATGACGTTAAATCATCACTGAGACGGAGATCAATTTGGTAACATTCATCACCAATCACAATTCCACAATCCCGCGAAAGAAAAAAAAACAAGTGAAAATAAAACAATTATTTCCTGGACACGTTCTCGCTCCACGATCACTGGCCGCGGTGCCGTCTTCAGTGCAACTGAGGACATTCCTCTAACGCGAACGTTAATTTATCAGCTGAGGATCGTGGAATGTTATCTGTGACTCCCACGCATAACTCCATTGGAAGGTTGGTATGTGATAGAGAGGCAGTAAGGAACGCCGGGAGGGAGGAAGGGAGGGAGGGGTAGTGTTGATGTCACACAGGAGATGGAAGAGGAGATGGGGGCTTCCAGACTGTGGGAGAGAGGGGAAGGCGGCTTCCAGACTGTGGGAGAGAGGAGAACTTTTCCCAGAAAAAAAGTAGCGTACAGAAGTGGAACGTGATATAACTAGACGTAAACAAAAAAAAATCCCTAAAATGAAACTTCAGAAACCGCAGACAAAGCAAGCAGAGAATGTAAACATTCAACACCCATCCATTAGAAACACACGAGGAGCCTATCCAACTCGACCCCAAAACAGTACAGCTCGGAACAACGCCACCCGGAAGGTTGAGAAATACCATCTTTCCCCGTCTCCCATCGTCTGACCGGAAGCCCAGAGCGCCGAAGATGTTGCATCGTGTGTCTCAATCATTGCATCATCGTCCTCATCTACTACACGCAGCGTGCCTCAGGGGGGACTGACTGCCCCCGCCCGTGATAACCACCATGGCGCCCATTGTTGGTAGATGCTGCAATTCTCGTGTCTGATTGGCTCGTGGATGTGTGTATCTATCATGTTTACCAATCAGAGACTACTGGCAAGTGGGTGGGTGGGGGGGGGGGGGGTTGACTTTCTTCCTGCCCCGCCTAATAGTCTTGTAACTGAGTTATAGCTTAAGTATTCTCACATTCAAATTCTCGAACTTGACCTTAAATTTGAGAGTGGAGGTGGCTTCCACAACTTTCCTCAGTGCATTCATTCCACTTGTTAACCACCAGTACAGGGTACGAGTATTTCCTTACATTTCTTCCACTCATTTGTTTTTTTCAGCTTTCACTTGTGTCCGCTTTGTCCTACTTTTTCTCAGCTTAACGAGGCTGTCCTTGTCTATTCCCCTGAGTATCTTGTATGCTGCGATCATATCTCATCTGTTTTTCTGTCCTCCAAGGTTTCTTCCTAAATGCTGTGGAGATTACCTTGAAATTTATGTTACTAAACGACATTGTGTGTGTGTGTATTTACTATTTCTGAGTGCAGGATCGAGGTGTTATCTCTTGGACCCCGCCTTTTTAACCATCGGATGTATAATCTATTAACTCCCGATCTATTTTCTTCCATCATATCTACTACTTATATTTCTAATGCACACACACACATCCCCAGAAAGCAACCCGTACTAATTGTCTAACTCCCAGGTAACTATTTAACGCTAAGTGAACAGGAGCATAAGGTGAAAGAAACTGCCCATTTGTTTGTGCCTTGAACAGGAATTGAACCCGGGCCTTTAGAACTACGACCCCCAGAGCACTGTCCGCTCGGCTACTTGTGTGTGTGTTCAATAGAACTCTCAACCTTCACAACACATTGGCAATATCTATATTATATTAGCATTCTCTCTCTCTCTCTCTCTCTCTCTCTCCCCCTCTCTCTCTCTCCCCCTCTCTCTCTCTCCCCCTCTCTCTCTCTCCCCCTCTCTCTCTCCCTCTCTCCCTCTCTCCCTCTCTCTCTCTCTCTCTCCCCCTCTCCCTCTCCTCTAGAGATGTACGTACATCAGCCTGCACGTCACAAGCGGATGTTGGTGCTGTACCTGAGAGAGAGGCAGATAGTACACCACTACTTGTCTATATATAGTGACGCAACGACCTCGAGGTGTCTTCAATCGCCAGCTTATCACATCACCGTCACGCCACTGTGTCTTTAATATACCCCTGGGCTGCGTCTCTGTGTACCCCTGGGCTGCGTCTCTGTGTACCCCTGGGCTGCGTCTCTGTGTACCCCTGGGCTGCGTCTCTGTGTACCCCTGGGCTGCGTCTCTGTGTACCCCTGGGCTGCGTCTCTGTGTACCCCTGGGCTGCGTCTCTGTGTACCCCTGGGCTGCGTCTCTGTGTACCCCTGGGCTGCGTCTCTGTGTACCCCTGGGCTGCGTCTCTGTGTACCCCTGGGCTGCGTCTCTGTGTACCCCTGGGCTGCGTCTCTGTGTACCCCTGGGCTGCGTCTCCGTGTACCCCTGGGCTGAGTCTCCGTGTACCCCTGGGCTGCGTCTCCGTGTACCCCTGGGCTGAGTCTCCGTGTACCCCTGGGCTGCGTCTGCGGGTACTCTCGACGCCCCACAAAGCGCCGATGGAGGAAGTGCTCAGAACCCAGATTCCAAGTGTCCCAAGGTGCTCACGCGCGGCGCGCTCAAGTTACCTGGTAAAACAGGCTGTTGAGAGGCGTGGAGCTCACGGAGCTCGCCACGGATATATCCGGCATATATTTCGGCGTGGAAGGGCGTTGAAATTATCCTATAACATACATGTCTCACTTTAACATGCCACTATACATAATTTGTATAACATGTTATATATGTCCAGTAACATATAGCAAGTTATATGTACTTTCGACGCGGAAGACATACAGTATAGCAATAGGAGAAGGACAAAGTGGCCTGAGGAGTCCCAAATTATGCAAGCATGATAAAGGGAAAATCATGCAGGAATCGGGTGTGAACGACGATATGAATTAATTACCAAAAGTAAGTACACGCCGTTGTGTGACGAAGACAAGAGTCGAGTGACAGGTAGCGACAGTTGCTGTAACTTGGAAGCCAACACGATCATGTCGGCACTGTGTAGACACGACACGAGTGATTGATTACCGCTGTCTACGTCAGCCCGATAGCGATATGACGCTCAAAGTCTCGCAATTTGACGCCCGTTGGGCTGGGGGGGAAGACTATTGAAGGGGCCAGCCAACCTTTCCGGAGATTTGACATCAGACCCGGAACTGAACGAACACAGTGACGGAAAGAACGAGTTGTGGTCGACTCCTGACCCGGATCTGAACCTAATTTGTGGGAGGTGATCTAGTTTAGGTCGAATTGCCACACACACTCGTGGTCAGTTGATGGAAGCTCCTTACATTGCACAGTTGTATGGCAAACAATTATTGGCCAAGATAGATTACCTAAATTTTGTACTGCTGCCCAACCGTCACAAGTCATGAATCAACAAATTCATGTCTTTAAGGCCGTAGGTAACCAGACACACTAACACAAACGGGTTCAATTAAGTCAATTGAAATTGGACGAGTTAGTTGTTCAGATAAACCACATTTATGGGGCGGTAAAGGGCTGTTACCTGGTATATTGAGATCGTGCCCACGTGACTCAGGCTGGCCAGCTACAGCCCTGATATTATAGACCCCAATAAATGTCGCATTCAAGCAAATCTCTTATTTCAAGCCTTGACTCCTAACTCGCTCTGTGGGCTCTGCGCCTCGACCCTCAACAATGATTGGGTCATGTGCCTCTATACTGGGCCCAGTGCTCAGAACAGCTCGCTCTCATAAACAACAGTCAAATGCTCGTATATCAAGCAGGTGAACCCCCTGTTTGTGAATGAAACCAGCCCGTCCTCCAAACAAAGACCCAAAAGTGATTCCATGCACCCGCCAAACCCCAGCTGTTTATGAATGAAAAACGGTTTACACACGACTCACAACTGCTGACGTTCGAACACTTCCGGAACAAGTGCTTCACTGACGACTTGTGTTCGAATCACAACGCTGTAAATGCTTCACCCACGTACTACAAATACAAATGATCACCAACAGAACCTAAACACCTAACCTATCCTATGCCTATATATACACAATATGCTAATATATTATATTATTAATTTATACTTGAGAAAATTCCCGTTTTGAATTAACAGCATGTTAAAATTTATGAATGCGTCTGTGGGGTCGACCGCTGGATGTAATGGACTTGAGTCGAGGACGGGTTGCCTTGTCAACAAACGTCAAGTGCTCGTTAATCCAGCCACCAAACCTCCTGTTTGAGTGAAAAACACTTGACACGACTCACAGCTAATGGTGTGTGTGTTTTTTCTCAACCTTCAGGCCAAGCTCGTTAAAGCGGCTGCCGTACCCCCAAGACCCTTTCATCAATTTTTATGTATTGCGTATTAAACATAAGTGTGTCATATAAATTAATATCATTATATATTAAAGTTCTATGTATAGTTAGGCATAGATGAAGATACGTGTTCAGGTCGTGTTGGCGATTATTTGCATTTGTACCACTTGGGTGAAATATTTACAGAGTTGCGATTCGAACAGACGTTAGTGAAGCACTTGTTCGAGAAATGTTCGAACGTCATCAATTGTGAGCAGCTCGTCTTCATAAACAAAGGCCAAAGTCCATCCCATGCACCCGCCAAACCCCGATTGTGAATGAAAAACGGTTTAAACACTACTCACAAATGATGACGTCCGAACACTTCTCGAACAAATGCTTCACTGACGACTTTTGTTCGAAACAACGCTGTAAACGCTTCACCCACGTACTACAAATAATCGTCAACAGAACCTAAACACCTAACTTAGTAAGTGCGTAAACATGCACAATATGCTAATATATAACAATATTAATTTGAGAAAATTTCTATTTTGAATGAACAGCATGATAAAATTGATAAACACGTCTTTGGGGTCGACCGCTGGATGGAATGGACTTGGTCTGAGGACGGGTTAGTTCTAAGTCGTGTGTAAGGTGTATTATTCATTCATAAACAAGGGGGTTTTGCTTGCAGGTTTTACGAGCATATGTCATTTGTTGATGAGGACGGGCTGGTTGATGAGGTCGGGCTGGTTGAAGAGGACGGGCTGGTTGAAGAGGACGGGCTGGTTGATGAGGACGGGCTGTTTGATGAGGACGGGCTGGTTGATGAGGACGGGCTGTTTTTTCTCGAGCAGTGCTACGTTCACGTCCTCTGCTTAATCTGCACCTCTAAATACTTCATCAACGTCCTACAAATACGAATAATGCCCAACATAACTTAACCACCTAACCTAACTTAGTTAACTTAGCCCTAAGTTAACTGTTAACAACAGTTAACTTAGGGCGA